TACACCTCCGTGATTGGTTTTTATAGTGGAGTTTTTTCTATCTCTGCGAATTACATTAAAACCAGCCAACTGCAGAGCTTTATCTGGTATTTCCTTTACCAGCCATGTCTCTGTAAGGCATAGTATATCGTAGTCTGTTTGTAAAATGGCATTTGATAGAGCTGTTCTTCTGTTGATGTCTAAAATACTTCTGACATTTAGGCATAAAGTTTTTAAATACTTAGCAGTAGGTAGTCAATTGCTTTCTTCGACTTTTTTTCCAATTTTCACTTTCTTCGTCATATTGGTAAAGGACAAGGTCCCTTAGCCTTAGGTTTTTAGCTGATACGCCAGTTTCTATCATTGTTCGCCTTTTCATAAGAAGTTTGTTCTCAATCAGAAATTCACTTGGGCTGAGCTCTTTTGACACAAAAAGAGTTTTGTCGTAGTTTTTCAATTTTGCCAAGGACATTAGTATCAGTCGTTTTTGCTATTCATTTGATACATTTATAACTATTGTGCGTGGCCTTTTTCCTTCTTCATTTTTTCCTAAACGTTTTAAATCTGAGATTTTTGCTTCAACTGTTAAGAACGCAAACAGTTTGTTCACCTCTTCCAAGTCATGTTTGTGTCTATCTCTTGAATTTTTTGAGTCCAGTTCAAGCAGTCCTCTTTTTCGGTTTACGTAATAGCTTCATTCTGGTTTGTTTAAGGCATGTTGCTTTGGCTCATTTCTGTTTTGTGGTTTTTTGTTTGTTTCATCTCTCTTTTGCTTAAGTGGATCTACCTCTTGTTTAAATGTAGAGAATTGTTCGGCGATTTCATTTAGCTTTGTTTCGGCACTGGATGGACGGGTTTTCATCAAATCGTTGATCATCGACTCTTTCCTATTGTTGCCAACACAACAGTTGGCAACAGGAGGACGTTCTGACTGATCTCCGAAATTCCAAGGATGGCAGTTTCAGATAGTGCATGTTTTTGTCATGTGCATAACCGCGTATATAAATATATCGGCAAAAATTTTATGATTAAATTAAGTCCTTTTTAATGTATCAAGAGAATTGTCAATTAAAATCTACCCTCCTCTAATACCACAGACTAGCTGCTGTCTTACGTTTTGCTCAATTTCATCCATTTTTCTTAAATGCTTCCGGAGTTTATCTGTTTAGAAAGCCTAACTTATTTGTGTAGAAGGATTACGAATTTTGTGGTGATGTTTTAGCTATTTTGGAAAAGTTTTCAGGTAGGGTAACTGTCTTTTCAGTTTCGCTTTCCATGTTTTTATCGCATGCTGATGGTGCTCCTATAACCGATCCAATGACTCTAAAACCGTCTACCACTATAATAGTTTTGCCTTCGAATACTTTTATGGCGCTGTCACGACTGTTTTCTTTTACAATGATTTGACACTTAGAAGGCTTCATATTGTATCCGAAATCCTTTCCGTGCACGTCCAGGTTGCCCAGTATTGCGCGGAGACTACTAAGATCACCTGCAGCGCTTCCATCATCTGCGTACCATTTTTGGGTGACATTTGGTTTTTGCAGGAGTTCAATCAGTGGGATTATCCCAATTCCGTACATAGCCATTGCGAGGGGATCACCTTGCGTTATGCCTTCGGTAGATGTCAAAACCGTGTTATTAACATATAGATTTGAGGGATGTTTATATGAGTTGCCAGCGCATGATGTAGTGGCGGACAAAGAATTTCTACATTTTTAGAGCAAATTCCCTATTGAGCGAGTTCAAGGCATTTTCTGCATCAATAAGTAGTATGTCGTGCGTTTCCGGCTTCTCAAACTCGTTCCTCGAGCTGTGGTCAGCATATTCGATTCCACACTTCTGGCCTAAGCAGAGTTGGAAATTTTTTCCGAGATTTTTAAGGTCTGATTTTATACATTGGGTGATATTTGTGCCAATTATTCTTCTCAGAACGTCACCTATACCAATGGCCGGTACCCCTGGATTTTTGTCCAGAGGTATCAGGCGACACGAGTTGTACGCCGTTAGGTTTTCATGGGGGAGAACTTTACTTGCTATTGCTTAGGATAGTTTGGCAATTGTTTGGCAAAGCCCAATGGATGTTTGGTTGAAGTGAGTTATTATCTTTCTCCATTCGCGCGCAACTAGATCTTAGGGACCGTGGCTTCCGTGCTTTTTCAGGGGTGATTTTCGAACTGTCTTGACGTTTATTTGTTCGAACATAGAGGGGTGGTATGGCATTGTGTCTTCACTTACTTCAGTTATATAGTTAGTGTTCGCTGTTCTGGCTTGAGGGTGTTTTTTTTCAGCATACTAAGGACTGTTTTTCCTTCAATGACTTCGTGTAGGGGATGTACTCTTTTTGTTTTCTTGTTTGAAAAACAGCCAATGGCGGCAGATATTTTGCCTGTACTCATTAGTTTATCAAATTGCTTAACTTCCTCATTCACTTCGGACTTCTTCTGTTTTGGATGTCTAATTTGGAGAGCTTTCGCTTCAGTGAAAAGTTCGTCTAATAGGCCTTGCTTCCATAAAATTATGCGGCGGCTGAGTGTTTTAGAATTTGATCTGTTTGTTTCTGATTTAGTTTTGGGGAGCAGCAGATGTGTGAGAAGCATTGCTGCTTTCATTGCGATGTTAGAATTCGGTGTTTCTTCTACTAATGACAACAGCTGCTGGTTCAGTAACACTATGAATTGGAAACCAGGATTGTTCTTGCTTAAGAGTATGAAGCGCGGTTTCTAGTTAACGACATTTTTATATATGTAGTTTGTTTTAATTTCAAGTTCAGAGTCGATAAGTTTCCAGGGGTCGAAGGGTGCTGTAGTGATTGCTGGGGGCGGTGGATAAGATTATTTTGCGTTGCGCAGTACGTTTGTTTCAGGTGTTGCCGAGGATGTTTCTTTTTGAGTTGTGATGGGGGCTGTGCTTGTTGGTCTGTTGGGGGAGTTCGGCTCTTTCGCAAAGTTCTCGGGATCCCATCGTAATAAAATTTGCTGCTCTGTAGCCCGCTACATGAGACATGGATGTAAGTTTTGCAAACGACACACAATATGCCTCCTTTTTGATGGGTGGCGTTTGCGAAAATGGCCGTGCGTTTGATCGGCCATAATTTTCAAGCGAGGAGGACAAATTTATGGTGAATATAAACAAGTTAGTTTAGCATAAAAGGCTAATTTGCTTAAATAAAGCACCCACTTGCCCTTCTGATGAATTTTGAAGAATATAATGGAAAACTTGCTATCGGGTTAGTTTTTTCCAGACAAACTTTGGCTTTTTAATGAGCAAATTTTGACAGAACCTTACATATAAAACAAAAAACATATAAAACAAAAATCGACTTTGCTGTATTTTGATTCATCGAAAACTCGACCATTTTAAGTTACTTGATATTCTTTTCACCACCCTCACTCATTTCTCAAGAAAAGCAAAGATTGTCAGGTAGATCTTGATTGATTTTTGGCTTTGAGCCAATATAAATTATCCGGCTATCCGGGAACGAATGATACCGGGAACGAATGATATCATAGTACCTCGGTTACTATCATACGTTTGACCTTCTGATGACTTTTGAAGAATATATTGGAAAATTTGCTTTCGGAATAGTTTTTTTTTCCAGACAAACTTTGGCTTTTTAATGAGCAGCTTTTGACAAAATTTTACATTTAAAACAAAAGACAATGTTGACCTGCGATCGAATTTAACAAGAAATAATACAGCCGTGCTCAATTCTTGCTACGTTATAGGGGTTTAAGCTTTGCTAATTTGGGATGAATAACGAGCGATGTAATTCGCGCTATTTCCGCGTAGGCTGAGATTTAATCCGTCCGAGAAGTCATTCCACGTTTCATTGAGGCATGCTTTTGGTCCAATCATCATTTGCCATCTACACAGTAGGGTATGTAGAATTGCTTGGTCCGACTCTATTCAGTGAAAAGAAAACATAAACTGAGCCTTTTCGATAGAAGTGCATAGTCGAACCCTCTGTGCGAGCAGCATTTCGAAGCTATTCGATTTAGTCCCAAATTACGCTTGAACCGAGAATAGAACAAGAATTTCCGGAAAACGCAATAATTGTAAGAAACTTTTACAAAATATAACAGCCGAACTAATCAGCGAGAAAGGTCGCTGGAAAATGAAAGAGTATTACCTATCGATTTTGAACACTAGTGACGATAGGAGTGTTAATGAGATCGAGGGAACTAAAAATGTAAATTACAATCATTTGTGCGTCATCAGGTTTGAAAGTGTTCAAATTTTTTTAAGTGTTAACCAATCATAAACACATCCTCAGACATTGGCTATACGAAATAATAAACTCATCCAATCAGAAGTTTGCAAATTTAAAATTCGCGTCAAAATTATTCATAATTATATCATCAGACTTAAGTTTCTATTCTATTCTATTAATTTTATCTTTAACCTAAATTGAACTTAAATTTAGTTTTTCGACTTGTCTCAATTTCCAATTTCGAAAAATGTAATTTTTTTTCGATTTTTTTTGTTTTTGTACAAGCCGGAATTTTGTCTTCGAAATCTAATTTAAGGGTCTTTTCTCAGCTCCTAAACTCGTCGCGCGTGTTTATTCTTGGTCTCTCCTTCGAGATATAAAGTGCTCCTAATGTCAGTAGCTTCACGTTGGTGTTAGCTTGGTCTATAACCTCCCATGACATTCTCGCGACCGTGCCCTCAATTCCACACTGACTTAGACGTTGTCCTACAAGTAGCCACTTCGACCTGTACTGCTTCACTTGGATAGCCCTTTCGGCCTGTACTTCGGCACGATCATTCACTAAACAGGGTACAAAAGAGGCAAAACAAGAGAAAGAATAGATTGTCAAATGGATTGTAGAAATGGATTTAAATAACAAAAAAGAAATGAAAGCAATTACAACCTGGTTTTTCACGGGTGGAGGTTACGGCGAGGATGTACGGGTAGAGGGGGAGTATCGCGGCTTGACAAGCTTGTCTCTAATTTCCTGTACCGGGCCTTCTTCTTACAAGCGTACCATTATTAGCGTATCATATCACATGAAACTATTTAATAAGTTCATCATAACAATTAGGCTAATTTGCTTAAAAAAGCAACCACTTGCCCTTCTGTTGACTTTCGAAGAATATAATGGAACATTTGCTATCGGGTTAGTTTTTTTCCTGACATACTTAGGCTTTTTAATGAGCATTTTTGACTGAAATTTACATATAAAACAAAAGACAATGTTGACCTGCGATCGAATTTAACAAGAAAAAAAAAACAGCCGTGCTCAATTCTTGCAACGTTGAAGGGGTTTAAAATTTGCTAATTTTGGATGAATAACGAGCGATGTAATTTGCGCTATTTCCGCGTAGGCTGAGATTTAATCCGTCCGAGAAGTCATTCCAAATTTCATTGAGGCATGCTTTTGGTCCAATCATCATTTGCCATCTACACAATAGGGTATGTTGAATTGCTTGGTCCGACTCTATTCAGTGAAAAAAAAACATTAACTGAGCCTTTTCGATAGAAGGGCATAGTCGAACCCTCTGTGCGTGCAGCATTTCGAAGCTATTCGATTTATTCCCAAATTACGCTTGAACCGAGAATAGAACCAGAATTTCCGAAAAAAGCAATAATTGTAAGAAACTTTTACAAAATATAACAGCCGAACTAATCAGCGAGAAAGGTCGCTGGAAAAAGAAAGAGTATTACCTATCCATTTTGAACACTAGTGACGATAGGAGTGTTAATGAGATCGAGGGAACTAAAAATGTAAATACGATCGTTTTCTTACATTTTTGCATCATCAGGTTTGAAAGTATTCAAATTTTATAAAGTGATCATCAATCATAAACACATCCTAAGACCTTACGAAATACATCCTAAGACCTTTATACAAAATAAAAAACTCATCCAATCAGAAGTTTGCAAATTTGAAAATCGCGCCTAAAAAACATCATAATTAAATCATCAGATTTAAGTTTCTAATCTATTCTTTTAATTTCATCTTTAACCTAAATTGAATTTAAATTTAGTTTTTTGAAACGTCTCAATTTGCAATTTCGAAATATGTCATTTTTATTTTTCGATTTTTTTTTGTTTTTGTACAAGCCGGAGTTTTGTTTTTCAAAATCTAGTTTAAGGGTCTGTTCCCAGCTCCTCAACTCGTTGCGCGTGTTAATTTCCGGTCTCTTCTTCCAGATGTAAAGTGCTCCTAATGTCAGTAGCTTCACGTTGGTGTTAGCTTGGTCTATAACCTCCCATGACATTCTCGCGACCGTGCCCTCATTTCCACACTGACTTAGACGTTGTCCTACGGGTAGCCGCTTCGGCCTGTACTGCTTCACTTGGGTAACTTCGGACTGTACTTCGGCACTGTCATTCACTAAACAGGGTACAAAAGAGGCAAAACAAGAGAAAGAATAGATTGTAAAATGGATTTTAGAAATGGATTTGAAAAACAAATGACTTCTAAAGCTCTCCGAAAATTGAGCAAGCTTTAAGAATTTGAGCATTGGTAATTGGAGCTTAAATTCGAAAGCCCCGGGGCCAACCCTGACAGCATCCCACTATTGGGTCGCATTTTGAAACTCGGTGAAAAAAAAAACACTGAACTGAAACTGAAAAATTGGTAAAAAACTTGAACATTTCAAAATACGATGTAGCTTAAACGTGAAAGTTTTTTGTTCAGCATGCAAAATTATTATGTTTAAACATGGGAGATGGCTGTCACACGCATATAAACATAGTAAAGATAGATAGAGCAAAATTATTGTGCTTAAACATGGGAGATAGCTGTCACACGCATTTAAACATAACATAGATAGATAGATAGATAGATAGATAGATAGATAGACATAGTGTAGATAGATTATCATGACATCAGAAATTTCTAGCCATTTTCTACTTGAATAATTCTTAAGTTCTCGATTCAACTAATTTCAGAGAAATGCCAGCCGGATGCACAAATAGTAGCTAGCTAATTAACTCTTATTAACAATTTATGATGTAATAAAAATCTGCATTCCATCATTGAAGCAATTGCTATAAAAATCAAGAAAATACAACCTTAAAAATACAAGAAATTAAAAATACAACAAATGAAATAAAAAAATGAAAGCAATTACAACCTGGTTTTTCACGGGTGGAGGTTACGGCGGGGATGTCCGGGTAGAGGGGGAGTATCGCGGCTTGACAAGCTTGTCTCTAATTTCCTGTACCGGGCCTTCTTCTTACAAGCGTACCATTATGAGCGTATCATATCACATGAAACTATTTAATACGTTTATGACAACAATTAGGCTAATTTGCTTAAAAAAAGCATTCACTTGCCCTTCTGATGACTTTCGAAGAATATAATGGAAAATTTGCTGTCGGGTCAGTTTTTTTTCCAGACAAACCTTGGCTTTTTAATGAGCGATTTTGACAGAATTTTACATATAAAACAGAAATTATATAAAGCAAAAATCGACTTTGCTGCATTCTGATTCATCGAAAACTCGACCATTTTAAGTTACTTGACATTCTTTACACCACCCTCACCCATTTCTTAAGAAAAGCACAGGTTGTCAATTAGATCCAGATTGAATTTTGGCTTTGAGCGATTACAAATTATCCGGCTATCCGGGAACGAATGATACCGGGATTCGAATGATATCATAGTACCTCGGTTACTATCATACGTTTGGCCTTCTGATGACTTTCGAAGAAAATAATGGAAAATTTTCTATCGGTTTTTTTTTCCAGACAAACTTTGGTTGTTTAATGAGCAACTCTTGACAGAATTCGGGATGATAGAAAAGGTCAATCAAACTTTCGATTTTTTTAAGCAACCACTCGCCCTCAATTTATTTTCTTCAACATTTGACGGACCTACTTACAACTTTATAATTAAAAACAGTAAATTAGCACTAGAGCTTTTTATTGAGTCGAGAGATCGACTTTGCTGCATTCTGATTCATCGGAAATTCGACCATTTTAAGTTACTTGACAATCTCTACTCCACCCTCATCCATTTCTCAAGAAAACCACAGATTGTCCTGTCAGGTAGATCCTGTTTGATTTTTGGTTTTGAGCGAATATAAATTATCCGGCTATCCGGCAACGACTGATACCGGGAAGGAATGATATCATAGTACCTCGGTTACTATCATACGTTTGACCTTCTGATGACTTTCGAAGATTATAATAAAAAATTTGCTATCGGATTAGTCTTTTCCAGGCAAACTTTGGCTTTTTAATTAGCAACTTTTGACAGAATTTTACATTTAAAACAAAAAACAATGATGACCTGCGATCGAATTTAACAAGAAATAATACAGCCGTGCTCAATTCTTGTTACGTTATAGGTGTTTAAGCTTTGCTAATTTGGAATGAATAACGATCGATGTAATTCGCGCTATTTCCGCGTAGGCTGAGATTTAATCCGTCCGAGAAGTCATTCCACATTTCATTGAGGCATGCTTTTGGGCTAATCATCATTTGCCATCTACACAATAGGGTATGTAGAATTGCTTGGTCCGACTCTATTCAGTGAAAAGAAAACATTAACTGAGCCTTTTCGATAGAAGGGCATAGTTGAACCCTCTGTGCAAGCAGCATTTCGAAGCTATTCGATTTAGTCCCAAATTACGCTTGAACCGAGAATGGAACCAGAATTTCCGATGAACGCAACAATTGTAAGAAACTTTTACAAAATATAACAGCCGAACTAATCAGCGAGAAAGGTCGCTGAAAAAACAAAGAGTATTAACTATCCATTTTGAACACTAGTGACGATAGGAGTGTTTATGAGATCGAGGGAACTAAAAATGTAATTTACGATCGTTTTCCTACATTTGTGCATCATCAGGTTTGAAACCATTCAAATTTTATAAAGCGATCATCAATCATAAACACATCCTAAGACATTAGCTATACGAAATAATAAACTCATCCAATCAGAAGTTTGCAAATTTGAAATTCGCGCCAAAATTACATCATAGTTATATCATCAGTTTTAAGTTTCTAATCTAATCTATTAATTTTATATTTAACCTAAATTGATGTCAATTTTAGTTTTTCGATTTGTCTCAATTTCTAATTTCGAAATAAGTCAATTTTCTCTCGATGTTTTTTGCTTTTGTACAAGCCGGAATTTTGTTTTTCGGAATCTAGTTTAAGGGTCTGTTCCCAGCTCCTGAACTCGTCGCGCGTGTTTGTTCTCAGTCTCTCCTTTCAGATGTAAAGTGCTCCTAATGTCAGTAGCTTCACGTTGGTGTTAGCTTGGTCTTTAACCTCCCATGACATTCTCGCGACCGTGCCCTCATTTCCACACTGACATAGACGTTGTTCTACGGGTAGCCGCTTCGACCTGTACTGCTTCACTTGGGTAGCCACTTCTGCCTGTATTTCGTCACGGTCATTCACTAAACAGGGTACAAAAGAGGCAAAACAAGAGAAAGAATAGATTGTAAAATGGATTGTAGAAATGGATTTAAAAAACAAATAACAAAAAAGAAATGAAAGCAGTTACAACGTGGTTTTTCACGGGTGGAGGCTCCGGTGGGGATATCCGGGTAGAGGGGGAGTATCGCGGCTTGACAAGCTTGTCTCTAAGTTCCTGTACCGGGCCTTCTTCTTACAAGCGTACCATTATGAGCGTATCATAACACATGAAACTATTTAATAATTTTATCCCAACAATTAGGCTAATTTGCTTTAAAAAAGCAACCACTTGCCCTTCTGATGGCTTTGAAGAATTTAATGGAAACTTTGCTATCGGGTTAGTTTTTCTCCAGACGAACTTTGGCTTTTTAATGATCAAATTTTGACAGAATTTTACATATAAAACAAAAATATATATGTAACAAAAATCGACATTGCTGCGTTCTGATTCATCGGAAATTCGATCATTTTAGGTTACTTGACAATCATTACTCCACCCTCACCCATTTGTTAAGAAATGCACAGATTGTCAATTAGATCCCGACTGAATTTTGGCTTGGAGCGAATACAAATTATCCGGCTATCCGGGAACGAATGAGACCGGGAACGAAAGATATCATAGTACCTCGGTTACTATCATACGTTTGA